ACACTTGGATCAACACATGAATGATCTCCACTTGGGATCAGATGTCAAACAAGAACCCGAAGATAGTTGTGTGGAACCGATTGATACAGAAATGCAGACACTATTGAACACCACTTCAAAGCCATCGACATCTCAATCATTACAAGAGATTATAAACGAAGACATGAATGGGAAGAGTAGTGAAGACTCGATAGAAATGCCATCAAAACAATGCGAACTAAAGTGTTGTCTGAGAAAAAGCGAGACATTTATCCCACACTTTCGTTGTCAACGCCATTGGTGTCAATTCAAGACCAGTTGTGAAACTGATTTTACACAACACGTGAAGACACACTTACAACAGCACCGGCTGTCGAAAGCATTGAGTGATATTAAGCCGTCGGCGCCTGTTGTCAAACTGTTGGAACCAATTGTTAAGAAACGGTGTCAATGGGAGGGATGTACTTATTTTGGGCCCAATCTGTCGCGACACTGTCGGATGAGACACACCCGTACCAGTCAACTGTCCCATCCGTGCCATCGGCTCGATTGTGACAAACGGTTTGCAACTAAATGTGCGCTCAAAACACATATGGATTCACACAAGAAGGTGCGCGCATTCGTCTGCGTTTGGCCCGATTGTGGTAAACAACTGTCTACTAAAGAATCACTCAATAACCACATGAATGTCCACAACAACGTGAAGCCGTATGCGTGCCATTGGCCCGGATGTGAGTACCGGTCAGAATATAGCGCTAATGTGACGATACATATAAAAAATGTTCACATGAATGAGAAACAGCGGTGCGATTGGCCTGAATGTGATTATTTGGGATTTAATTTGAATACACATAAGCGCATTCACACCGGCCAGACATACCCATGCGATTGGCCTGAATGTGGTAAACAGTTTACTAATAAGCAAACACTCAAATATCATATTAATGTCCACCAAAATGTTAAGCCCTATGCGTGCGATTGGCCGGAATGTGAGTACAGGTCAGGCAATCGGCCCAGTCTTTATACCCACAAAAAGCATGTGCACACCGGCGGACCCGGTAATCATAAAAAAAACTGTTTGCCTGCCATTGGCCCGAATGTGGTAAACAGTTCTTCTCTAAACCGACGCTCACTGACCACATGAATGTGCACAACAACGTCAAGCCGTATGCCTGCGATTGGCCTGAATGTGGGTTCAGGACACACTATGCGCCTAATGTTCGGCTCCATAAGAAACATGTCCACAAAATATAAATCAATTTTAATTGTATTTAATGTTTAATATTTATGATTTAATAAATCGATATTTATTAATCGCATAATTATAGCATTGTTTTTAATAAGACATTAATTTAAGGCATAAATGGTATTGTTATGAGACGATGGCTGCCGAAGAAGTAATCACTCGAGAGTTGACCACCGGTTTTGGCCGCCATTACTAACGATAATCATATTTTTGTATAAATTAAATATTTATAATATAATTTTGTAAATTGTCGCGATAGTAGAGCTGACCCGACGGTGAGGTTGATTGGCAGTCTGTCTACACGACTAATAGGTTTGGTCGCAGGCGTTAACTCCCGAATACGGGGCGAATAACCAACACTTCGTTAAACAATAACAAATGACTTTATTAGAGGTATAGCGAAGGATACATGTTATCGAGTGTTACTCTAACTGTAAGTGAGGGATACATGAGTGGGTCGGAGGCTTATATAGGGAGACATCGACTAACTGTCGTAAAGATAGGGTGTGAGTCGATATGCAGTAGCCTTTAGGTCCGAAGGCTATGATCTCATAGCCAACAGGTGATGATGAGGTTTGTGTATGCATTAGTGAGTCGACCATGATCTCACCAAGGTGACAAGTATGAGCACTTGTCACGTATGCGAAGTGGGGGACGACAGTAGGAGGGGTATCAAACCACGACAAAATAATGTTTTGTATGTTTGTGTTGTCCTTATAATTGAAAACCTCTTACTTTAGACTTTAATTTACGTTTAACTATATTTTATTAAAATTTGTATTTATAATATGACATTAATTTTTAATTAAACGATTTCTTTATTTATATTAATAGAAATTTTAATGAATAAAACTTATACCATGGTAATTTTATTTCATGATAAAAATATTTGTTGCAAAAGTTGTGTAAAATGTTTACGTAATTAATAGACATTCACTTCACTTGTCATTTGGTTTGAGTTTTGTTGACATTTTTGTGATTCAATTGTTGTTTAGTTTTGCACTTAATTTGTATTCAAAATAATTGTGAATTAGTTTTAAATGTGTTTTTGAATTGAATTATGGATTCAATTATTTATATAAACGATATTTTGGATGAATTAATGAATGAAAACAATAGACTTTTACATGAAATTCAATGTTTGAATGAAATGAAAACACATTTAATTAAAATCCACTCAAAATATGAAACACTTATCGATTCAGAAGACAATCAACACTTCCGGGCATTATCTCAATCATTGGATCAATTGAGTGATGAAACGTATGGATCGGTTGGACATCACATGAAGACTGAATTTGAAGACCGATTGAAGAGTCCATCAAATGATCAACAAATGGGACAAAGAAATGAAACACAAGAAGTGAATCAAAGTATTGATGATAACAGCGATGACGTGAATGAAGACATGTCTGTAAATAAAAATTTATTAAAATCAATGACTGAAAAAATACAGAAATTATTGAACAGCACTTCAAAGCCATCGACATCTCAATCATCACAAGAGATGGTTAACGAAGAGGTAACTAATACCAGTAATGAAGACTCGCTGGAAGCGATTGAACCCAAAATGTTGACTGAATTTATGCCCCAAAATGTCTGCCAAAGAGACGGATCCAATCCATTGACAACACATACGTTGATTTGTCCGCCAAATGCGGCCCAAAAGACACGCAATGTATTGATTTCGTCGCCACCGATAACTCAATCCACGGCTCAAGTGATGGACAATAAAGAGATGATCAGAAAGAGAGCCAAAGAATTGGTGCATAAAATGGAAACCGAAATACAATTACGGAAACGGATTCCCAAAAGGATTCCCAAACATAGCGGCGAAGAGTCGGCGAAGAAAAGCAAATTATGGTTCAATCAAACCTCACATACAATCATATGTCCGCTAAATATGACCGAAAGGACACAATGTTATGATTTGACTGTCAATGCGTTCATTTGTCCCATCAATGACTGCCACAGGAGTTACAAAACTAATGACTATTTTCGGGATCACTTGACAGCCGTTCACAGCGGCAGACAATTTGTGTGCACTCACGAGGGCTGCGGTAAAGTGTTTACGAGAAACACGTCTTTAAGAGTGCATTTATTGACACATAAAACACGAGTTAAATCATTCAAATGTGATTACAATGGCTGCGAATATCGAGCCGTTTGTCGATACCATTTGGAAAGTCACGTGAGAACACACTCGACGGACAGACGGTTCCGATGCGATGTCAGCGGCTGTGAGAAGACATTTAAAACGGGCTATGAATTGACTCAACACCGGCGGACACACAGCGCTCAGCCGACGTATAAGTGCGGCGCCGACGGCTGTAATGATATGTTTTACTCGCCGTCTATACGACTGAAACATCAGGTGTTGGTTCATAACCGGCGGCCGTATGTCCAGCACCGGCGGCCGGGTGTCAAACACCGGTGCCAATGGCCCGGATGTGATTACGAGGGACCCAATGGATCGCTGCGCAAACACACACTCGTGCATACGGGTGAGCGGCCGCACGGCTGCCATTGGCCCGATTGTGGCAAACGGTTTACGCTTTCGCACCAATTGAATGAACACATGAATATTCACCTGAATGTCAAACCGTTTGCCTGCGATTGGCCCGCGTGTCAGTACACCACCGCCTGTAGCGCTAATGTTGTTAAGCATAGAAAACAAGTGCACAAAATGTAATGATTATCTGATTTATAATGTAATTAAATCTAAATAAATTATTTCTAAACGTTATGCTTTGATATTTGTTTTATTTTCATTACTATAAACTATTTATTGCATTTGTTTGGTAATTAAATATTAAATTAAAAATATTTATAATTTATAATAATTAGCGAATTGTTTCAATTTAGCTTGAGCTAATTTTGTATTTACTAAAATTAATTAAAAGTACTTAAATTTATATTATTTAGTAAAGCATTAAAAAATCATATAAATTGTTTACGTAATTATTAGACATTCCCTTCACTTCTCATTGGATTTGGGTTTTGTTTACATTTTTTGATTCAATTGTTTAGTTTTGTTTTGCACTTAATTTGTATTCAAATTAACTGTGAATTAGTTTTAAATGTGATTTTGAATTCAATTATGGATTCAATTATTTATATAAACGATATTTTGGATGAATTAATGGTTGAAAACAATAAACTTTTAAATGAGTTATTGTTTTCTAACAAATGTTTAAATGAATTGAAAACACATTTAATTAAAATTCACTCAAAATATAAGACAATCATTGATGGAGAAGACAATCAAGACTTTTGGCTATTGTGTCAATCTTTGGATCAATTGAGTGATGAAACGTATGGATCGGTTGGACATCACATGAAGACTGAATTTGAAGACCAAATGAAGAGTCCATCAAATGATCAACAAATGAGACCAACGGATGAAACACTAGAAGTGAATCAAAGTATTGATGATAACAATATCACATGAAGACTGAATTTGAAGACCAAATGAAGAGTCCATCAAATGATCAACAAATGAGACCAACGGATGAAACACTAGAAGTGAATCAAAGTATTGATGACAACAATGACATAAATGAAGACATGTTTGACAACTCGTATGACAGCAATGGTCTGGAGTTGGGATCAGTTATCAAAATAGAAGCCGAAGATAATTATGTGGAACCAATAAATATAGAGATTCAACCGGTATTACCATCAAAGCCATCGACATCTCAATCATCACAAGAGATGGTAAACAAAGACATGAATGGGAAAAGTAGTGAAGACTCGATGGAAATGACATCAAATGAATCGATGGCTGAATTCTTGCGACAAAATAAGATCGAAAGAAACAAATGCTTTGATTTGACTCTCTATGCATACATTTGTCCCATAAATGATTGCCACAAGAATTTCGATACAAACGGCTATTTTATGAAGCATTTGCGGGTAACTCACGCCTCAAGACAATATCAGTGCACTCATGAGGGCTGTGGTAAAGGCTTTAAAACAAAGTACAACTTAAGACAACATCTAAAGACACACTTAAGAGATAGAGTGCATTAAACTCCAGCGTTTGCCATAAAGTAGACACCGGAGCCCAACCGCCACTACAACCGGATCTGTTTGATGATATGATCTACTCTTTTGGTCATACCGTTTAGCGCCTGTTTAACCACTCGTATGACAGCAATGGCCTGGAGTTGGGATCAGTTATTCAAAGAGAAACTAAAGATATTATTGTCAAAAGTATTAAGTGTTAACAGTTTTGTAAAATATAGATATTATTCAAACACTAATCATAATTATTGAATGCAATTATTGGAAATGTATTGTATTTGTAGTTTTCTATTGATATAAAAATTGAATAAAAATTATATTTTTATCAATTATTTAAATTTGTCACAAAATTATTATTAAATTAATAATTTATTAATAATACTTTTAGCACTAAATTGTATTAAACAGAAAGTCGACGTAATTAATAGACATTCCCTTCACTTCTCAATTGAATTGAGTTTTGTTTACAATTTTTGATTCAATTGTTGTTTAGTTTTGCACTTAATTTGTATTCAAATTAATTGTGAATTAGTTTTAAATGTGATTTTGAATTCAATTATGGATTCAATTATTTATATAAACGATATTTTGGATGAATTAATGAATGAAAACAATAGACTTTTACATGAAATTCAANTGAATTAATGAATGAAAACAATAGACTTTTACATGAAATTCAATGTTTGAATGAAATGAAAACACATTTAATTAAAATTCACTCAAAATATGAAACACTTATCGATTCAGAAGACAATCAACACTTCCGGACATTATCTCAAACATTGGATCAATTGAGTGAAGAAACGTATGGATCGGTTGTCGTCAACATTAAGACTGAATTTAAAGATCGACTGAAGAATCCATCAAATGATCGACAAATGAGACAAAGAAATGAAACACAAGAAGTGAATCAAAGTATTGATGACAACAGCGATGGCGTGAATGAAGACATGTTTGACAATAAATATTCATTAAATTCAATGACTGATGAAATGCAGACACAAGTGAACAGCACTTCAAAGCCTCAATCATCACAAGAGATGGTAAACAAAGACATGAATAGAAAGAGCAGTGAATACTCGATGCAAAAGACGTCAAAGCAATCGATGTCTCAATTTTTGAGAAAAAATAAGTCCGAAAGAAAAAAATGTTTTGATTTAACCAAAAATGGATTCATTTGTCCCATAAATAAGTGCCACAAGAGTTATAAGAGTTATCCGACGGACGCATACTTTGTCAAGCATTTGACGCTAACTCATAGATTAAAACAATACGTATGCACTCATGAGGGCTGTGGTCAAGCATTTAAGATTAAGCGCAACTTAACGAAACATGAATTGATTCACAATACCGTCAAACCATTTCGTTGTCCACAGAATGGCTGTCAATACAAATGCATTAGTGATGACTATTTGAGAGCACATCTGAAGAGACGGCACAATATTGATAGGAAGAGGACACCAATAGTTCGCACGGATAGAGTGGCCATCGAATCGGAACCACTGATAAAAGAGACGAAATTCTTTACGTTAACCACTTTGGAAAGAAAGCGATGCTTTGATCCGAAGGCAAACACCTGGAAGTGTCCGGCGATTGAGTGCCCGAAGGCTTATATAACGCGTAAACTATTGAACCAACATTTAAATGTCACTCACAGAGAACGCCGATTTAAATGCCATTACGACGAGTGCGATAAGAGCTTTGCTACCCGTTCTGGTCTCGACATTCATATACTGATCCATAAACAGATTAAGCAATTTAAATGCCATTACAAAGACTGTGTTTACAGCGGCGTTACCAACGGTGCTCTGACCGCACATATGGTCAAACATTCGACGGATAAACAAGTGTTTCAATGTCCGGCCGACGGGTGCGGCAAATGGTTTCAAACTCGCAAATTGTTAAGCATTCACTCGCGGATACATCTGAGCGAACCGTCGTTCCGGTGCGGCGCCGATGGATGTGATGCTATATTTTTTAATACGAGTCAACGAATCAAACACCAGATCTGTGTCCACAATAGGAAAGCCAAGTGTCCGAAACCGCAACGAAAGCAAGCGTGCGATTGGCCCGGATGTGAATGGTTTGGAATTGATTTAAATAAGCATAAACTCAAACATACGGGAGAGCGACCACATGTGTGCGTTTGGCCCGATTGTGGTAAGAGTTATAAGGATTCACAGCGACTCAAAGATCACATGAATATCCACAACAATGTGCGCCCATATGTGTGTCATTGGCCCGGATGTGAGTACACGACCACTGGTAACGCTTATATGTTTAATCATAAGAAGTTTGTCCACAAAATTAAATGATTATTTAATTTAAATATAAATATTAATATATTATTTAATAAATTATTAATAATTACTTTTGTTTAAAGATATCTATTGCTTATTTAAATGGCTATAAATTTATTTTAATATTATTATGTAATTCATATGTTTTAATTAAATAATAAATTAATTGTTCACTGTAATCAAAAACATATAATTAATATGATGTGAATTTTGTTGATTTAATACAAGTTCAGTGAATGTGATTCATATACCGGTTATAGAAATTGTTTACGTAATGAATAAACATTCCCTTTACTTCTCAATTGAGTTAAGTTTTGTTTACAATTTTTGATTCAATTGTTGTTTAGTTTTGCACTTAATTTGGATTCAAATTAATTGTGAATTAGTTTTAAATGTGATTTTGAATTCAATTATGGATTCAATTATTTATATAAACGATATTTTGGATGAATTAATGAATGAAAACAATAGACTTTTACATGAAATCCAATGTTTGAATG